CGCTAAAAGGCTCTACATTTTACTACGCTAAAAGGGCACTAGTCTTTAAACAAATAAATAATCACATTACCACAAGTTTTGGCCTAGAGTTTCCTAGGGATTTACATGAAGTTTTTCATGGGAAATTACTTGTGAACTTTTTCCCAAAAAAAAATTCAAATAAACTTCTTTTGTTGACACTACTTAATCAAAGTTTTCTTGTGAAAGAATTCGCAAGTAGTTTACAAAACAAATCTGTAGTTCCTAGGTAACTTATCTAAGAATTTAAAACCTCTAATTAACTTACTTGAAGATTTACATATTTCTTTACATGGGTCAATTTTACATTGCATTTTCAAGAGAGATATTAATTTAGACAAACAAGAGTCTTAATCATGAAAGAAACTAATCGAAACAGATGAAAGCAAATTACATCGGGAATAACCTAAAACAAGTCATCATACAACGATCAACATTAATCATTTACAGAAACTTGCACTTTATTCATTTGTGTATAATTATTCACTAAAATCTTTATTTTGATAATATTGATATTATTTTATAAAATCGTATACAATGATTCGGTATATGCCGAAAAACTAGTCGTGAATAAATGCAGGGGCAGAATGAAATTCTTTTTCAAAATCAACATCATTGTCTCATACATTTTCCCCGGGGAATATGCTAAAATGACATTCCACACCGGAGCCATTTGATTAATAGCCAAAATCATCAAAGAAATTTACAACGGCGAGGACAGGGAATACCCAACAAGAAGGAATCATGGGACTTGCAATGTCGTGATATTCTCACTCTTGCCAACCCTTCAACTTAACCCAACTTGGATGACTCACTTTGGACTTGTGATTGCAAGCTTCTCCGGAGAAAATCGGACAACTTTGCAGTGGCAGCACGTCCTCGCTCCAAACAGCGAATGTAGTCATCAACTGAATACAGGAAAATTCTTAGTCATAATTGTAGATTAACTCACTCTTAAGGAACAAAAGCCAAATTGCAACTATCAAAAACTCTTTCCACACAACATTAACTCCCCCTAAAGTGAATGTACTCTTCTCTCAGTTTAGTTTATCAAAAATGATGTCCATTTTCTGAAAAAGAAAAATGCTACTCTTTTCTTTTTAAATTGGTAAACACAATTATCTTCTTACATTACAAAAAAATTCGAAAAGTGATGAGACTCCAAAATGCCAATCTAACAGAAAGTGAATCGTTTTAACTCTCATCCAGATACCATGCAATGTGAAAATGCAAGGGTCAGATGGCAGGGAGAGTGACATATATAAGAGGAGGTTAGGGGGAAGCAACATACGTCTCTGCTAAATTCAAATTTACCAGAAGATCTGATGCTGCTTCTAAGTTCCATAAGATACATCTCCCAATCAAAGCAACTTTACAGTATTAATTCCATTTATTTTGACTCTGCAATCAAACTACAACTACAAACTTTTTGACAAGTAAACTACAACTACAACCGTTGCAATTACTTAACTCACTGCCCCCCCTCCCCCCTTTTTTTTTTCCAAAAATAACAATGATGTCTGGACCAACTTGTGCGTAACTTGACTATTCTCCGGGTACCAGTATCCTTCCACCAGTACAGCCACCAAATAACTTTGTCCCACCAGGACTTAAAATCATTTTTTAATCACCTATCTTTCTTGCTTAATTCGAACATTGGCCTCCCCCGCTGTCTTAATTCCAACTCCATAGACCGCTACACTATATCCTTCAGTCTATTTAACTCATATTCATATATTTTCAACTTATTTCATTTTATGTTTATGCTTTCAATACTTACGGAGAAAGGCTAACCCTCCAAAATAAAACTGGGAGTTAAGAGTGGTGCTGCACAACAGAATTATCCACAACCCCAAAAAAATAGAGTAGCGCTGCACTATAATGCTGTAATAATCAATCATAACAAGCATATGTTCAGATAAAAAATGTTCTGATTCGAGTGAGTCTTCTATTTGACCTAAGCTCCTGCTGGACAATATACTTCCATGGCTCTTTATAACTAAACCTTATCCTATTTCTCCTACTTCGAATCAAAATTGAATTGATTTATTGCAAGTTCAGCTTAGTGCAAGCGAGCAGTGAAGCTTGTTAACATTGGTCAATGAAAATGCTAAGTTCAAAATAATCTTTTTGTCGTTCAAAGTAGTTTTGGCTTTACACATAAGCTGCAGAGAAGGATAAGCAGAGCATGTTGATATATCCATAATGAAATTCTAACATGTTAAAGAAAGAAATGTTGATACATTGTTTCAAACAAGGGGATTTAAGAAAAAAATTGAGAGGTGAGCCAAAACCCAAGGTGTTTCTATTTAAACGTGTAATCAGAAAGAACAAATCCCGTGGCAACCAAAACAAGAAATTCACTAATGGTATCACTCGAGAGTCATGATGATGCAGAGCTACAAGATATTGCCATTTTAAATGCAACCACACTACAAACTCCCAAACTTACGTTTGTATCTATAGTGAACCACAAAACTAAGAGCGATGGTAAAACATCATGCTGAAGGTAAACAGCTAAAATGCATCTCTGTTGAAGAGAGAAATTATAAAGAAACCAGACAAATAACTATCCCCTAGAGACAAACTGCATCAACAAACTGCTGACAAACCTCTCAGCATTGACAAATTTACTGTAAGAACCACAAGCTCCAACCGAAACCCATAATTTCAGAACCAGGCAGAATAACAAAGAACTGTGAGGTAATGAAGCTCCAATCAAACATAATAAAAGTATAGTGCTAAGCATAGACTGCTTATTTCCGGGCATATAAGCACATACTGATACAACTTTGATGCTATAAAAATCACATCAGTAAAAAGAACTTCTACGAAATATTATTATAAATGACATTAGGAATGTAACTACATAGATTCCGACTTACCTGACATTACACCGTGTGTAAAAGATGTTATAAGTCCATGTTCCGTGGGTTCACCTCTCACTTTCAATGATTCATCAGGAAGCACAGATAATGTCAAGTTAGGAAAAACTAGATATACAAACGCCTTCATTTTCTGTTATCATCAGGAAAGAAAATTATACACCAGTATTATTATATGAGTACGAGATCGTTAAGAATGCCAAAAAAGCTTAATGAATTACATAAAAGACTAAACGGATACAACCTGCTCTTCTAGCTTGCTAGGGTCCAGTAGAATATGTCCACTCTCTGATAGACTACAACATATTGCAACTACAAAAAACAATAACCCTCCATCATTTCATCTTTCCTCAAACTGAAGCATTAAGTAAATCATCAAATAATTATGCTTCATCACAATATGCACATGGAAGATTAATACCAGCAAGGTGCTTCAAAGGAATCCCAGCATCCACAAGGGCAGCACATACTGCATTTATGGCACATGGAAGAAGCTTAAGAAAAGTGCAGTCAAGGAAGTTTCCTGACTGACGAATCAAAGTTGAAGAATGATCTTAACTTCAGTAATATGCAGAATTTAAACATCACACGATAGACGAGACATAGGCAGTCTTTAAAAAGATAGGTCATTTTGCGGAGTTTCTTCAAAATAAATGTTTCGTTGTTACATAATATTCTCCTTATTAGAAGTCACTTCCTGAAAATTTTAACATTCTTGATATTACGAAAGTCAAAATGAGACCATAAAGAGAGTTAGGACTTCTGGCGGGTAGGTATACCCTGTCCTCACGCTTACCCTTCTCTCAAGGGCCTCACAAAATAGGTCACCAAACTATAAAATACCAACTGTCCTAAAAAATGAATGACTCTTGAAAATATAGCCAGCATTCTAATCTAGAAGCAAGATTCTTGGAGCACTATACTGAAAAGTGAATTCTGAAAATCTAGGAGGAACCAAATAAGGGATGATTATAACATAATTACAATTCAAAGTGCAAGATAAATAAATACACACGTATAGAATATGAAGAAGCAGTTAATCCCAGGCCCTTATGACAGCAGAATTATTCTAAGTAATCTGGGATAAATTAGCGGTGTGCTCATTCACTTATTTATTTGATGGTTTGATCATTTATTCAAATTGGCGAGAGCTCTTTTCCCATTATCCCTGAGCACTCTCAGATATCAGTGTAAATCGTCCAAACTGTAGCAAGAGAAGGAGTTTAATAACTAAGGATACAGCTCCATCATCGTTGACAACCTGCATAAAAATTAACTACTTCAGTTTGATTGGAGCTATCATTATGATCAAACAAATATATATACACTTCGCAAACAAAAAGAAATGAGCTAACAAAATGACAATGCATAGAAATACCCAAAAGACCAAACCTACTTTTATGTCAGGAAGTTGCAACAGCACATTGAACTCATAAGCTATCTGATATTACGATTTTCAGATGACACATAACCACCCAACTAAGATGTCAAAACCTCAACACAACTGTCTTAGATGGGCATAAACGTAATGTTCATCAATGCGTACCCTGCATTCCAATATCATAGCACACTGATGCGAATAATTTTTAGCCCCCAAATAAAGTGGCTAGAACTTGCACTTCAGCTTTCATGCTTAATAGACTAAATGATGAAACAAAGTGAAAAGGCCGATAAATAAACAAGAAATAATATGCATACCGTCTATGTTGCCCAATTGTCTCTAATCCTTCAAAAGTGAATTAGAGGGATTTTAAAAGGTCCTACTGCAGGCCTGGGCTCTAAGTGACTGTAACATAACCATTGTCGTCTAAGTTACTATGTCTTCATCTAAGTACCCTATCCTCTTTATATGCATTGTACTACGCTCTTTGAATCAGATCACAGCCTAATATGCTTTGAGTTAATTGCATGGTGCCGGTCCCTTGTAAAGAGGGGATATCCTATGCTTGTTCCTCTACATTTATCCTACGGCCTCTCTCTTCCTATTTTCCTATTACTGTTCTTCTCTTTAGACAACTGTAACTGCTACAATGAACATCTTTCTACTTTGCTTTTCCCTTCTGCCTCGAAAATTCTGATTTACATGGTACGTTCTTTATCTTCTTACTGTTGTTAGTGTTCACACAGAACAACAGGCTTCTGTTTTCTTAACTTTGAAAATTTTCAGTGCAATATTGAGCAGTATTTTCATATAAGCCTGCGTAAAAACTATCCAACATTTTCTTGGGAGTACAATGAGTGATGCTGAGAACACTAAAGAAGCTTTGTTCAGTGAATTAGGAAAAGAAGACCATCAGCATGGAATGTTGCTCCTCTAGCTCTTATATGAGTAGTTTGGAAGGCGAGAAATAGAAAGGCGTTCGAAGGGGTAGAGAAAGACCTTGTTTATTTGGGGAATAGCTTGATGTCTCTAATTTCCTTTTGGTGCACCCTTGAGTTTCCAGTTTGCATATAGGTGACTTTAGTAGAGACCCATGTTTTCTTGTAAGGGGCTCTACTTTCTGGTATATTGCTTGTATACCGGAATTTCCCCAATAACAACAAAATTACTCACCTTATAAGAAGAGACTGTCCAAAATTTCATTACTGCCCTAGAAATATTTTTACCTTCTGACTTCCTTCAAGAACTACAATCTTTGTAAACATGTAAGAGTTGTAAGTTATGGGGTGTTAATTACTTTTCCATTCAAGAACAAATTCAAGTTCTCTATCCAGACTACAGCTACAGTACAAAGCTAACAACTCGTCCACCACCAACACGAAGAATTAAACCCATATATATAGCAGCAACAACAACAAACAACTCCATCCTTAGCTAGTCGGAGTCAGCTATAAGAATACTCACTATCCATCTTGCTCCATTTGAACCAGTTTCATTCTAGTGTTAAATAGTTTAGGTTGTCTTACACTATAAGTTCTTTCCATTTTCTACTAACATTCAAATCTCTAACAGTTACACAACTGGCAAAACCACGAAGTAATCATCTTAATTGTTGCAGGCAAGGTTAACAAATGCCTATGGAATGAACTTCCTCTTAACTTTTAGACTGTCTCACCTGAATGATAATTGACGTGGTGGTATTTGGATGAACATTCAAAACGCAAATGCTTTGCACAGTCCTCTTCAAAATCATCTCATACTCCTTCTCCGCTTTACCTAAACACAAAGTGAACTTTTGAGATAACGAAAGGAGAATCTTCTATTGCGATCATGCCCCATTATTACATCCCAGTCAAATAACAAGGAGGTCTCTAAAACCAATATTACAATCATCAGACATATAATGCAACAAAAGAGATACACACCAAACAATTTGTGAATGAAAATATCAAATATCCAATACTGCAATTTGCCTTGTCATCAATTAGTAACAAGAAGTGCATGAAAAAGGCCAATTTAGAAAGTTCAAATAGCAGTAGTGTCAAGCATCTGTAGTAACTTTGGATGTGTGTTTCTCCGCAAGAAGAAACTATTCTGAACATAAACTTTGATCAGATACCAAGCACCTTGGAAATAATGAAGTAATGAACTGCATTTTGGGGAACTCACCACTCTGCCCCGTTTTTGGCTTCCAAATTACTTCAAAGCAGGCTTTTTCCGGGTTCTCGTTCTTCTTTGTTCCAGCCTTTGGTCCATAAACAGCGGCAAGAACTTTTGTCTCCCCTATACAAGTATAAACCCATCTCAAGACTTCTATGAAATCCAACTTTAAATGAAAATTAAATAAGGCAATTCCAAGAACACAAGAATATCATTAACCATGAGAGAAGAACAAAGTGATACAAAATCTCATGAAATCAGTTTTAAATGAGCAAAATTAGCTAACTCTAAACCATGCGAAAAATTGTTCAACAGACACCAATAGAATCTTTTTAACTCAATTCATCCCACTTTAAGTGTGGTAAATTAACTTCCACAGAACAAAATTGACCACATCCTGATAGTGATATTTCAGGTGACGAATAACTTGTTTCAAAGTCGACAGTTAATTATTTAAAAAGGAGTACTAAATTTTCCACCACAAGTAAACGAAGAGAAATTAGAACTGTAGTTCAAAATGTATCAAGAGTTCAAAGGGTAGATATAAAATACCTTGAGACCAACTAGCAGAGCCATGAGCCCGATTAAGAACGTTACGAATGCAAGCCAACGGCCTCAATTGGTTCGCTGTTCGCCCATCCTTCCTATCTGTTTCCATTGCTCTGTAAGTGCAACAACCCTCTCTCTCTCTCTCTCTCTCTTCAGGGTTTTAGTTAGGGTTTATGGGGTTGCAAGTTAGGAAGAAGAAGAAGAAGGAAAAAAATAAAATTACATTGCAGCCCCTGTTATTTTCTTTTTCTTTTAAAACTTTTCGCGCTTTACAATACATATGTGATAGAACATCTGGTGAAAATAAAATTTAGTAGTTTTTTTTTTCTCATGTGATAAAAGTAATAAACAGCGCCATTTGGGCACCAAATATTAGTTCAATATTTAAGATATACATGAAATATTGAAACAATGGATTGAAAATACTTCAATTCAAATAATTATTTCATTCACAAAACTTTAAATTTAACAAACAAAAAAAAATCCAAATACAGTTCATACAAGCAATTTCCAATTACTCACTTTCCGCTCCAATTTTAAACACCTTCTCTTTTCAACTTCAAGTAAATATTTTTCAAAAAGAAGTAAGGCCTCATTTATTTTTATTAAGATTAAAATGTTTGAATCTGAATACACATTTGAATATTAGTATATATATTAAGATTAAAATATTTTGAATCTGAATACACATTTGAATATTGAATAATTAAGAGTGTTTGTTTTCTCTGAATGAGTAAATTTTTCTTTATTTAAAAATTAATAAGTATAAATTCAAATTGAATAGTACTAATTAATTCAATACTATATTAATAAAGTATTTTTAAAAAAATTATATGGTGGTTGGTGGTGATGATGGCTAACAGCGGTGGTTATGGGTGTCGACATGGTAGTAGTAGCTGGTAGTGGTGTTGATTGATAGTAGTTATTATGGGTAGTAGATAGTGGATGATAATAGTAGTTAACGGTAGTATTTAATGATGGTAGTGGTTGATAATAGTGATGGGTAACATATTGTGGTGGTTGATCGCGATGATCGGTGGTTGTTGTGGTAATGATGGTTGGTGGGGATGGTTGTAAATGATGGCTAGTGGAAGTGGCAACTAACATTCATGCTTGGCGGGGGTAGTGGTTGTGGCTGAGGACGACGGTAATGAGTTATGGGTAGTGAGTGGTGGTAGTCAATAATGGTAGGGGACATCGATAGCATGGTGAATAGTGGTGAAAGTGTAGAACCAACAATGAAATATCTTTTTTATAAAATTCTTGAAATAACATCTTAATGGTGTAAGATTTTGTTATAGATCTTAATTAGTCTTAATGGTTAAGATCTAAATGATTAAGATTCATGCATCCATCTATATTATATTAAAAACACGAAAACTTTTAGCGAAATGTCGTTCGCTTTTTTTTTTACCCTATAATAAAGTATAACATTGGACAAACTTATAATTTAAGTTATTTTTTTAATATTTAGTACTTCAAAATCAATTAATTTTGCTTATCAAAACATTCCTTATTTGAACTAGGTAAAAAAGTCCTAAATATTAAAATATTAATATAAAAAAGTTTTATTTACTTGTAGGTGACTAATTTTCTGAACATGAAACGCGGTGATGCTTGTCCTAAGTTTTTGTCCATTTCCTTTCTTACTTTGTTATAGCTAATTTAATCAATTTAGACTAAATTAATTAGATTATTAATAAATTTATTCGTTAAAACTTAATACAACTATAAACGATAAATATATAAAATTTAACATATACTAATTATCCATTAGTTGATTTTTTTCATCCTATGTAGTTAAATTTGTGTCTCATATTCCTATCATGAAAAAATATATACGTAGTTATATTTAGAGTTACAAAAGTATATTTATTGAGTTACATATTTCTTCCTTCTATATTAGCTCAAAAACTCTATATCATTTTGAAAAAAGAAATATGCAACACCTTTTTATAGCTTTTTTTCTTAATGTATTGGTGATTGTGATATGGCTATGTAGTGTACCCTAACAATATAAGTATTTTTTAAACTATAGTGAGTTGTAACATGTGTTAAAAATTATTTGCAATATATTCCCAATTAATATTTAGATGTAAGTAGTCATTATCTTATAAATAACTTGCCGTATAAAAACTTTAACATATTTGAATTCTTGCATCTATCTCTCTACATTACCATCTACCAACGAAACTTGAACACTTCTGATCAACTTAGAAATCTAAAAACAAAGAAATAACTATTTTCCCCATTTTAGATTAAATATAAAAGATACAAAAAGTTTCTGAAGCTTCAGTTTTGATGAGTGTTGTTCATTATCTTCATCTTAAATTCGGTGAAAAATCATGAATGATTACTATGTTTTTATCATAGCGATAAAAGTAGGACCAAAAGATATACTTAATTGACAGGTACTAAAGTTGTCGAGAATCCGAGTAGTGTAAAATTTAACCAAAAACGGTATAATGACAATAATAAAAACAATGAAAGTTAATAATAACAACAATTAAAGCATATAAAGAAGACACCAATTTAATGTGGTTCGATCAGTGTGCCCTACGTCCACAAGCGGAGAGGAGTAATTTCACTATAATAATAAGAGTACAAAAGAAAGTACAAAATTAGAGTAAATACTCTAATTAATCCCAAATACCCTAAGAGAATAACCTCACAAGATCACTCCAAATAAAATGCTCACACAAGTGCTTCCCAACACTCAACTCTCATACAAAACACTCTTAGTAAAGGGGAAAGGAAAGAAACAAGAAATGAAGACTCAAGTCTTGTTGGTGTGTCTAAAATGAACTAATGGCCTTCCCTTTTACAGGCAAAAAAGTCTTGGCCTCTTAGGTGTAAAAGAAGAGATACAACTTGTGCAAATGATGTTCACCACACAATGCAATATTTTTGGGTCCCAAAGAATATTGCCAACAAAGTTTACACTTTGCAAAGATGCTTATGTTTATGCGAGATGGACTCTATTAGCCAAAATATTGACCATAATTACAAATCTCCACCTTGGCCTAATTTGGCTGATATAGTAAATTTGCTCCACCTTCTCCGCAAAAGTCCCAATGGACATATGTTAAAATTTAATGCCATCAAAATCAGATAAGTTGTCTGATACCGAAACTGTAGTAGGGCCTATAACAGTGGATCCCAATAAAGTATACAACGAACCAGATCTGTGTGCTTTCATGATCACAAGAGCACCATGAGAAACTTTCAGAACTCCACCTTCACATGTGTACTTGCACCAAAGAGAATCTAGAATGCCCAAAGAGATTAGACGTTTCTTCAAGTCAGGAACATGTCTAACATCGGTGAGAGTTCTCACCACACCATCGTGCATTTTGATTCGGACTGTACCTTTTCCAATAACTTTGCAGGCAGCATTGTTGTCCATCAAGATAACTTCACCTCCAATAGATTCATATGTGGTAACTAAATCACGATTGGGACACATATGATAAGAACAACCCGGATCTAAAACCCACTAATTGTTAGATTTGAAACTATTATTAGTTGCTAAAAAAAATAGTTCCCTCAGTCTCATCAGCAACTACACTTATTTCGGCAGTGTCAGTATTTTTGTGCTCATTTTTCCTTTCCTTATGCTTTTCTTTATTTTCAGTTTATAGCATTCGGATATAATGTAACATTTCTTATGACAATAGCGACACTCTAAATTATTGTATCTGGATACGGAATCGGATTTGCCCCTAACAAACAAGTCAACTTGCGCTTGAGTTCTACTAGCTTCCCTAGTAATATCACTATCTATCTGTTCTTTTGATTTTAAAATAGATTTAATATCCTTATAAAAGATATGATCATTTGCATAAGACATAGTATCTCTTATATGCTTAAAATATGGGGTAGAGAATAAAGTAGTCACACGACTTGATCCTCATCTTTATTTCAGCATCTATATTACTCAAATCCATAAGAAAGGAATCAAATCGTATTTTCCATACAAATTGTATAAAGCTTCTCCTTCAGGTAAAGTCTATTTTCCACTGTCATCTTCATATATAAGGTTTTTAATTTTTTTCACATGCCTTTGGCTGTGGTTTCTACATAAACTTCATGTAAAACCTCATTTGATAGATTTAAGATGATACATGATTTTGCCTTTTTATCTATGATGGCAAACTCCTCATCCGTCATTTTATCTGGCTTCTTCTCCTTTCCCTGCAACGCCAAATCTAAGTCATCCTGAATTAGGATAGTTTCCATCTTTAATTGCCACATTCCGAAGTTTGCACCTCGATCAAATTTCTCAACATAAGTCTTTGTTAGGGTCATTTTGGCTATTGAAACTAAACCGGTTAGATTCGGCTCTGATACCAATCTGTTAGTATCCGAAACCCGAGTAGTGCAGAATTTAGTGAAATAACGGTATAATGACAATAGCAAAGACAATGGAAGTTGATAATAACGGCAATTAAAGCATATAAAGAAGATATCAATTTAACGTGGTTCAGTCAGTGTGACCTACGTTCACAAGCGGAGAGGAGCAATTTCACTATAACAATAAAAGTACAAAAGAGAGTACAAAATTAGAGTAAATACTCTAATTAACCCCAAATATCCTAAGAGAATAACCTCACAAGATCACTCCAAAGAAAGGGTTCACACAAGTGCTTCCCAACATTCAACTCTCATACAAAACACTCTTAATAAATGGTAAAAGAAAGAAATACAACTTGTGCAAATGATGTCCACCACACAATACAATATTTTTGGGTCCCAAAGAATATTGCCAACAAAGTCTACACTTTACAAAGATACTTATGCTTATCTGGGATGGACTCCATTAGTCAAAATATTGGCTATAATTACAAAAGTACTGAGTTTTCAATTCAAAAGAAAGTTAGGAGAACTCTTTTTACTAAAACTAGTTTTAGTGTACGTGCGTTGCACATGTTTTTTGGGGTTTATTGATAAAAATTATACATAGAGTAAAAACAATATGTGTAATAACAATTAACGCTATGCAATATTCATTTTAACGAAAACATAAATATTATGACATTGACACAATAGTTGAATTGAAAGAATCTGTATCTTCTGATTTTAGGTGAATTACTTATATAGTATTTGATTATTGATATTTTATTGTATGATATCTTTGTGGACAATATTATTGGTGTATGTTATTTCTTTGTTATTATTTTT